GCGCCGGCACTAGGTTTCAGGGCTTTTTGATGGCTGATAGGGTTGAGGCTTGGGTTTTAAAGTTGAGAACAGGGAACTCATATCGGGCATATGAGTTTAGTAGTCTCAACATAATGAGCGAGCCAAAAATGGGAAACCACTTGACAAATCCTGATAGAAAGGCCCTACCCTAAGCCTTGAACCCTGAACCCCCTAACTCTCTAAAGGGACCTCCTAAGCCTCCGGAACCCTCAGGTCTACATCCCCCTAAGCCCTAAGCCCTAAACCCTAAACCCTAAACCCTAAACCCTAAAGCCTAAACCCTAAACCCTAGACCCTAAACCCTAAACCCTAAACCGCCCCACCCAACGTCTCCAAGGGCCTCCGTGCGTCTGGCCGTCCAGGGCGATGTGATCGGCATTGACCTGGGCACCTTCGGCGGACTTCCTCTAAGGGTTTAGGGTTTTGGGTTTTGGGTTTAGGGTTCAGGGTTTGGGGTTTAGGGTTTGGGCTTTGGGGTGTGGGGTTTGGGGTTTAGGGTTTAGGGTTTGGGGTTTAGGGTTCTGGGCTTTGGGGTCTGGGGTTGAGGGTTTGGGGTTTTGGGTTTAGGGCCCTTGGTAGGGTGCCAACGCTCATGGATTACCCCTTTAAGGCCTTTGGCCCGAATAAACTGGGCCCCAGCATTTTGTTTAAATTAGGGGTCGTCTGGGGCTTGGGGGGGGGAGCGGGGGGGAGGATCCCCCTCCACAATAAGAAACCCCCAGACCTGCGCAACTGAGCTGCTTCAGGGTTTAGGGCTTGGGTTAAATTGTGTTCAAGGTTTTAGGTTTTCCGGGTTTTCAGGGTTCAGGGTCGGTGTCTTTGCTGCGAGCGCTACGTTTAGGGTGGGTATCATGGGATTCAAGCCTAAACCCTCAACCCTGCACCCTGCACCCTAAACCCTAAACCCTCAACCCTCAACCCTAAACCCTGAACCCTGAACCCTAAACCCTAAACCCTAACCCCCCCCCCCCTCGACCCTAAACCCTAAACCCGTTATCGCTTACGCCGGATGGTGGGTGATAAGTGAGTCTTTGATGGTTTCCCTTGAAGTATGGGTTTCTAACACAGGACAAATCCTCTTGGATTGCTGTCACGATTATTCATGTTAGAGTTGTGTTATCCCAACTGACATCGCCTCGTGCCACCATTCTCATTGGTTGAATCAAACTCATCTTTGAGAGTTTGTTTTTTTCTGTACTTCGCAGTCTAGGAAAGATGCTTGTTCGTTTGTTCAACCAAATATATTGTGAATGCAACACATGAAAGCTGGACGATACCAGCCGCATTTGAGGGGAACCTCGGGACTGAACCCTAAACCCGAAACCCGAATCCCCAAACCCTGAAACCCCAAGCCCGTAACCCTAAATCCTAAACCCTAAACCCTAAACCCTAAACCCTAAACCCTAAACCCGAAGCCTTTCGTGAGGCACGACCAACTCCTGCGTGGCGGTGATGGAAGGCTCAACGCCGAAGGCTCCGTGGTCTAGCCGTCCATGGGTCGCAGGGTCCCTAAACCCTAAACCCTAAACCCTAAACCCTAAACTCTAGATGGTTATCTTCCCCGCATTTTGAAATTTCCGATCGGCTTGCATGGCACGATGAGGACACTGGTCGACAGGTTGCTACTTGATCCCGAGGGGGTGCGAAATGCAGCCAGGGTTGAAGGTTTAGGGTGTAGGGTTTAGGGTTTAGGGTTCAGGGTTCACGGTTTAGGGTTCAGGGTTTAGGGTTTAAGATGCTACGCTAAAGCCCGACACGAAGGTCGAATGCGCCACAGATTCGAGAGCTGAAGCAGTCCGAAACTCTATAAACACTCTGAACATGAACCCTGAACCTTTAACCCTAAACCCCTAAACCCTAAACCACTGAACTCTAAACTTGAAAGGGTAGCGTCACTGGTCTTGCGCTGCTTCTGCGGCTTAGGTTTAGGGTTTAGGGCTTGCCTGGTCTTGTGCCGCTTCGTTCCCTTGCCTGTCGAGATTCAAGGCAAGCCTTGTAGAAGGAACGGCAGCGCACGAAACCCTCAACCCGAAAACCTAAACCCTCAACGTTTTGCCCTAAACCCTAAACCCTAAACCCTAAACCCTAAACCCTAAACCCTGAAACCCACGCCCCACAGGGGTGTAGGGACCGCATGTTCAGCCCCAGCAGGTGATCGAGAATGCGGAGGGCATGAGAACAACGCCATCGTTCGTAGGCGGGAAGCATTGCAAAGCCCGAACATCCCTTAAGGTGGTGTTGGGTTTAGGGTTTAGGGTTTAGGGTTTAGGGTTTAGGGTTTAGGGTTTAGGGTTTAGGGTTTTAGGGTTTTAGGGTTTTAGGGTTTAGGGTTTAGGGTTTAGGGTTTAGGGTTTTGGGTTTTGGGTTTTGGGTTTAGGGTTTAGGGTTTAGGGTTTAGGGTTTTAGGTTTTAGGTTTAGGGTTTAGGGTTTAGAGGTACTAGGACCCGGAGTAGGCCCTTGAACCCTTTTCTCGGGGGGTTTTTAGGTTCCCTTACAAGGCCCCCGTGAACCAAAGAAGGGCGCCCTCTTGATTCCTAGGTTCCTCTTGGGTCGAGGATAGGGTACTGTACTTTATCTTGCTAGTTCAGTGGTACCCTTTTCCCTTCTTTGGTTCCAGGTTCTTCATAAAGTACCCTAAACCCTAAACCCTAAACCCTAAACGCTAAACCCTAAACCCTAAACCCTAAACCCTAAACCCTAAACCCTGTTTTAAACAGGGTTTAGGGTTTCCGGGTACTGGGCTATCAAGTTCTGGATCTCCTAGGATAGCTAGGGCTTGCGATCGGCAACGCAATCAGATTGGAGCCCACTCTGAGGCCACGCTTTCTTTTGTTTAAGGTGTAAGGTTGAAGGTTTAGAGAGAGCTTTCAAGAGCCTCACCTGGACAAACCCTCACACAGCGCAGCTGCCCAAACGCAGCACACGCTTAAGAGAGCCCCCCCCGCCCCCAGAAAGTACGTGCAAGCCCCCTGAACCCTAACACCCCAAACCCTAAACCCTGAACCCGAAGCCTCCAGGCACCCCTTTACCTGCTAAACCCTGAATCCTTGAACCTTCAGTCTGACGCCCCTCAATGAAGGACATTTTCAGACCCGCAGCTGCTGTTGCATTTTGCGTTCTATAAGCTCTACACTACACCCCACTTAAGGATCCACTGCTGTTTCAACCTTGCGTAAGCCTCGTTTAGGGAAGCCATCTGCCCCTTCACCTGGTAACTAAACCCTAAGCCCTAAAGCCTAAACCCTAAACCCTAAACCCCAAACCCTAAACCCTAAACCCTAATGCCATCTGCATCTTGCACAAGGCTCTTTTCGGGAAGCTTTGCATCCTGCGGGCCCATCCACACCCCACACAAGCTCCTAAACCCTAAGGCCTAAGACCCTGAAACCTAAGACCCTAAAACCCTACAAACCCTAAGACCCTAAAACCCTACAAACCCTGAGACCTTAAAACCCTAAAACCCTAAACCGCCTAAGCCCTCAAAGCCCTAAACCCTAAAACCTTAACACCTTAAACCCTAAACCCCTAAACCCCTAAACCCTGAGCCCTCAAAGCCCTGCGCGGTCCCTGGCAACAGGCTTCACCACCGACGGCCAGCGCTTGGTCGGTATTCCGGCGAAGCGCCAGGCAAGGGTTTAGGGTTTAGGGTTTAGGGTTTAGGGTCTAGGGTCTAGGGTCTAGGGTCCAGGGCCTAATATAGGTGTCGGAATAATTACTACTATAGGGTCCCGGGTCCCGAAACACATCCGAAAGGCTGACCTGAATTGCTCGCAACCCCTCATGAACGCCTAGGCCCCGAAAACCCCCTACAAGCTACCACCCTAAGCTCCCTAACGCCCACTGGCCACAAACATCCCAAATCCTGATCCCCAAGCACTGAACCCCATAATAGAGGGGTCTGAATAATTAGAATAGGGTTTTGGGGGTTAACATATGTATATATATATATATACCTAGACCCTACAACAACCCTGAACAACCCTGTAAACCCTAGTCCTTGGTAGCCCAGTGGTGCCCTTTACCCTTTTTTTTGGTTATGGGTTCCCTTATAAAGTAAACAACCCAAAAAACGGTGCCCGTATTATAATCTGGTTACTGGGCTACTAAGAAACTGCGACAATCAGGCCTCAATCCCAAAGCCCTAAACGAACTCTAAATCCTAAACCCTAAACCCAATTCTGCTTGGAGATCTCTGCATCCGCATAGCGGCGCGGATGTGTTCGGTTCTTTCCTTTTGGGGGGCTATAGGGAGGGTTTAGGGTTTACGGTGGGGGGCCCTTTTCTCAGGGTAGTTACATGGTGCCACAATATGGGCCGTTAAAGAGGGACCTCACTTCGTTTTTGGATGAGTTGCTGCGCGCTTTGGCGCGTTCATATCTAGCCCCAACCAGACTAAATCCCGAACTCTAAGCCCCTGGACATTTAGGCACAAGCCCCAAACCCCAAACCCAAAACCCAAAACCCAAAACCCAAAACCCTAAACCCTAAACCCTAAACCCTAAACCCATACAGGAACCTAAGAGACTAGGACCCGGAGTCGGCGCCCAGATTCCCTCGCTTTAGGGTTCAAGGCAAGCCCCTGTTTATTCCCAGGTCATTCTTGGGTCCAGGAGAAGAAGAAACATAAACCCTAAGCCCTAAACCCTAAACCCTAAACCCCAAACCCTAAACCCTAAACCCTAAACCCTAAACGGAAGCATCCCTGAGTCCCCAACATCGAAAGTCAGGCCGTCACGAACGCAGAGAACACCGTTTTTGCGGCGAAGCGTTGCTGAGTCGGCAAGTGGGGTTGCGGGAGGCGTTCGGGTTTAGGGTTTCCAAGTATTTCCAGTTTGGGTACTTGGACCCTTTGGGAGGCTTTCAGGGTTGAGGGTTGCGGAAGCACCGCAAGCTTAAAGTTTGTGTTTTCTCCTTGGTTCTGTACTGTAACTTTAGACCTTGGCATTTTTTGTTCGGGTTCAATTCTCTGTCTTGAGGGATGCGGACGGTGAGGGTTTAGGGTTAAGACCTTGAAGGTGTTGCGATGGTCATCAGTACTCAGAAGTATTCAAGGAATTAAACCTCGGACCCCTAAGGATTTACCCCTAGATGTTCCCTTAGCGCACTCCCAACATGGCCTAAACCCTAGACCCTAGACCCTAGACCCTAAACCCTAAACCCTAAACCCTAAATCCTGGGCTGAGGTGCTTGTCTACAACTACCCATGCACCTCACGACTGCCCTGTTCCTTTCCATTTCTGTGTCACAAAAATCCCTTCACCTTGTCTTTTTGAAGCCTGGTGCCTGTTTTCCAAGAATAAGGGGCTTTGACTGGATCCAGGCTAAACCCTAAACCCTAAGAGTTTAGGTTTAGGGTTGAGTAAGGGTTTAGGGTTTAGGGTTTAGGGTTTAGGGTTTAGGGTTTAGGGTTTAGGATTTAGGGTTTAGGGTTTAGGGTTTAGGGTTTAGGGTTTAGGGTTTAGGGTTTAGGGTTTAGGGTTTAGGGTTTAGGGTTTAGGGTTTAGGGTTAATCACTTCACGAGGCCCCCGACCTTTAAAGCAAGGCCTCATCGGCCGCTCCTACGAAGACGATGCCACGCAGAAGGACAAGAAGATCTTGCCTTACAAGGCCCGCTGCGCGGCTAAGACCCCAAACCCGAAACCCGAGACCCTAAACCCTAAACCCTAAACCCTAAACCCTAAACCCTAAACCCAAGTCTAACTGTACTTGTAAGCCCCCCAAGCCCCCTAAATTTTCTAAGCAGCTTACAAGAAGCCTTCCAATTGGGGTTATAAGTACCCACGAACCTCCAAGTAAGCGCTCCTCAAGCTCCTAAAGCCCCTATCCCTCGACCATTAGGGATAAGGGTTTAGGGTTTAGGGTTTAGGGTTTAGGGTTTAGGGTTTTTTGGTTTAGTTGTTCTTCGCAAGTACCAAATTGCGGGTGTTCCCGCGGATTTCTTGTCGTCGACGGCCATATTATTGATGTAGTTGCCCGATTGAAACCTGGGTCATTGGAGTGCAGGGGAGGGCTTAAGGAGCTTTAGGGTTTAGGGTCTAGGGTCTAGGGTCTAGGGTAGGGTCTAGGGTTTAGGGTTTAGGGTTTAGGGTTTAGGGTTTAGGGTTTAGGGTTTAGGGTTTAGGGTTTAGGGTTTAGGGTTTAGGGTTTAGGGTTTAGGGTTTAGGGTTTAGGGTTTAGGTGCTGAGGAAGACTAGACTGCCTACATGGGCTTGCATGTTTTTGGTGGTTGGTCGCTCTAGTTCAAGCCCTATGCTTGCATTTATCGGGGTCTAGAGCTCCGGCCTCAAAGCCAGCTCTTGTTCTTGTGGCCTCTTTGAGGGGGCGGGGGGGGGGGGGGGGGGTCGGGGAGGGTGGGGGGGGGGGGTGGGGCCAAACCCTGTAAACCCTAAACCCTACACATTTCATGTTTCATGCACGAGGGGTTTCAAGGCTTTGGGGTTTAACTCCACACACGCCCTAAATCCCGCAACTAAGGCATAAGTCCCAAGCCCCCCTAAACGGGGATGTTATGGTTTCCAGGTTGGTTTTGCATGTCCAAGCTGTCTTAAGTGGAGTTGGGTTTGGGGTCTCAGGCCCCCCAAGACGCAAAACTGACGTAGAACGCCTTGCTGAAAATTCTGGAATTCTGGAAGCCTGGGCCCTATGCACCCGGGTTTGGGATTTAGGTTTAGGGTTTAGGGTTTAGGGTTTAGGGTTTAGGGTTTAGGGTTTAGAGCTTATAGTTTCCACACCCATGATTCAGGGCTGTCGTTCCGACAGCACAAATCTCAAGTCCCTGAGCAGCTCACGGCTCCGACTGCCAGGTTCCTGGGTAGTTCTAAGTGGGTTTAGAAGTACAGAAGGTCAAGGTTTGATTGTGGGCTCCAAACCCTAAACCCTAAACCCTAAACCCTAAACCCCAAACCCTAAACCCTAAACCCTAATTTAGGGTTTAGGGTTTAGGGTTTAGTAAACCCTAAACCCTAAACCTCAAACCCTAAACCCTAAACCCTAAACCCTTTTTCCTAAACCCTAAACCCTAAACCCTAAACCCTAAACCCTACTTTTGACTACCCAGAAGCCATCGCAAAGTCACACGGAGAGGTCGTGCGGGCTCCCAACGGCGATGCCTGGATCGAGGCATCAAGCTGTGCTTAGGGTCTAGGGTTTAGGGTTAGGCTCTGAGTTTTGAGGTTCAGGGTTTAGGGCTTGTGCACGGTTTGAGGTTTAAGGCTTACAGTTGCCAAGTAGAGATGCAGACAGGTGAGCATTCTCCGTTAATACTTGGCAAGAGATCATGATACGTAGCATCTTGATCGCAGACTTGAGCAGATGCCTCCTGCTCGTGGTGTAGCGGTGGTGACGCAGAACCCCGAACTTAAATGGGTTAGGGTCTGCGGTTTTGGTGAGTTTGTGCTGGGTTCCTCGCAAGACAAAGCCTGTTAAAATGACCCTAACCCCTAAACCCTGTAACCCCTACACCCTATAAACCCTATAAACGCTATAAATCCGATAAACCCTATAAACCCTATAAATTCTGAACCCTAAACCCTAAACCCTAAAACCTAAACCCTGCCTAAAACACTAACCCAACTCTTGAAAGGCAGCCGGCGAAAAGTACGCGCCGAGCCAGATTGGAGCCTTCGTGCTGACCAAGATGAAGGCCATCTGGGCACTCTTCCCAAATAAGGTTTAGGGCTTAGGGTTTAGGGCTTAGGGTTTAGGGTTTAGGGTTAAGGGCTTAGGGTTTAGGGGTTTAGGGTTTAGGGTTTAAAGTTTAGGGTGTACCTTATACACCCCAAAATGGTATGTGCCTCGTTCCCAGGAACCCCCAAAAGGGTACTCCCTATATGTGCGGCAACCCACGTCTGATTGGCTTTTGCGGCTTAGGCTTGAGGGTTTAGGGCTTCTGGCGGGGGGGAGGGGGGGAGGTTGGGGTTGGGGGGGTAGGGCTAAACCCCTAACTCCTAAGCCCTTAACCTCTTCGGGGCTTCAGGGTTTACAGGGTGTCTGGGGTTAGACTCTAGCAAGCCGAGGGCCTGAATCTTAATTTAGCCCGGATTCTGAGGGTTTGGTACTAGCATAGGTTTCAGTTTCTTGCGGGGTAACCCTTTTCCTTTCTTTGTATACTTTGTCTTGTGTTGAGGGGGGGGGCGGTTTCAGTGTTTAGGGCGGATGCCCCTCCCCCCAACCCTTCAACACGCTCGAACTAGCTCCGATACCTCATATGGGGGTTTCCGAAAATAGGGTTAGCATTTGGGGGTATGTTTTTTCTGGGGGGGACCGCTATTTTGGGAAATGCCCACATGTTGGAAATCTCCAACAAGAGTCCTTCGACTGTGTGATAACGCTGTGTTTCCCCAAAACGCTCAAGCGGAATCCTTTCAAACCCTTTTCAGCGGTTCTGCTTTCGGGGGTTCATACAAGAGAGGGGGAAACCCTAAACCCTAAACCCTAAACCCTAAACCCTAAACCCTAAACCCTAAACCCTAAACCCTACAGTGGTGGCCTGCGGAGCTGAGGGCTTCTTTGGGCTTGGGCTTGTGGCTTAGGAGGCAGGTTCCGAGCTGCTGAAGACTTCCATGAGGGTTGAGGGTTTGGGGTTTAGAAGTTTGGGGTTTGGGGTTTGGGGTTTGGGGTTTGGGGTTTGGGGTTTGGGGTTTGGGGTTTTATGGCTTGGGTTTTTTGGGGGTTGAGGGTTTGGGGTTTAGGGCTTGGGGTTTAGGGTTTAGGGTGCAGTACGTGCAGCTGTGGGCCCCTTCTAGTGGGCAGCAGTCCTTCAGGGTTTAGGGTTTAGGGTAAGATTTGGGTTGAGGGGCGGAATGATTTTTTCCGTTGATTTCAGGCCTTTCGTTCCATTAAAAGTCATGCTCCAACACGCTGAGCCCAACGTTTCTAAACCCTAAACCCTAACCGTGCCCTCACCCTAAACCCTTAGCCCTAAACCCTAAACCTTGTGTGGTCAAGCTACTCCCTCTCCATGCAGGAGACCGCTGAGGCCTACCTGGGACGCCCCCTGGTCGTGCAAAGAGCAGTTTCGGAAGTGTTTGGGGTGGGATCCCTAAACCCTAAACACCAAACCCTAAAACCCTAAACCCTAACCCTCCTGATCCGAGGGAACGTTGGCCAAGCGGTGGTCACCGTCCCCGCGTACTTCAACGACGCGCAGCGCCAGGCAACCAAGGACTGCTTTGGCAGCTGTGGGGGGCGGGGGAGCGGGCTGGGGGAGAGACGGGAGGTGTTTAGGGTGGGTAGGATTGGACGGATCTTGGATGTAGATCTGAACGCTCAACCCTATCCAGAGCAACCATGTACCCTTGAATCAATGTTTGGGGGTTCGGGCTTAGGAAATACACCCAATCAGTGAGGAAGGGAATGAGCTGCAGTTGTAGGGCTTGTAGGCCTTAGGATTGGGAAGGTTGGGTCTGTTCCCTAAATCTGAGGGTAGTTTCATGGGCCCTTAATGTGGCCCTAACCTCCCTCAAGGGGTTCTGATGTATGGGCCCTTAGCTCGCACAGGGCATACAAGGGGTATGTAAGTACCCTTGTAAGGGACTATGTAACTACCCTAAACCCTAAACCCTAAGCCCAAAACCCTAAACCCTAAACCTTAAACCCGACGAGCGCCTCAAAAGGACGCAGGCAAGATCGCCGGCCTTGAGGCTCGGGGCATCATGTTTCGTGCCAGGGGAGTTGGGGGGGGGCCGTAAGTCCTGAACCCGAACCCGCGAACCCTAAACCTCAAACCCTCAACCCCAAACCCTAAACCCTAAACCCTAAACCCCAAAACCCCAAACCCCATACCCTAAACCCGAAACCCTAAACCCTAAACCCTAGACCCTAAGCGGTCACCGCAAAGAAGGCCCAAGACCAGCCGGAGGTTCCCTTCCGCTCGACGAGGGCACCTAGGGTTGTTGCGGCAGCTTTCGGGTTTAGGGTTTAGGGTTTAGGGTTTAGGATTTAGGGTTTAGGGTTTAGGGTTTAGGGTTTAGGGTTTAGGATTTAGGGTTTAGGGTTTAGGGTTTAGGGCGTAGGGTTTAGGACTTAGGGTTCAGGGTTCAGGGTTTAGGGTTTGTAAAGTTTAGGAGTTTAGGGGCTTCGGGTTTATCCCGGTAGCCAATCTAGGATGCCCAGTAGTGCCCTTATTCCCTTTTTGGGGGGTTTAGGTTCCCTTATTGAAACCCTTTAAGCACAAAAGGGCACCCTTTTTAAGCCTTGGTTACTGGCAGCCTAGCCCTAAACCCTAAGCCCTAAACCCTATACCCTAAACCCTAAACCCTAAACCCTCAGCCCTTCAGGTGCCGAGAATCATCAACGAGCCGACCGCAGCAGCCCTGGCCTTCGGAATGGACAAGGCCCAGCCGTGGAAGGGGGAGGGGGGGTTGGGGGTTTAGGGTTTAGGGTTTAGGGTTTAGGGTTTAGGATGTAGGGTGGGTTTTCAGACCCAACTTTCCACGGGGGCTGGAGTTTAGGTTTTTTTTTTCGGTCAGGGCTTTAGGGTTTGAAGTTTAGGGTTTAGGGTAGAGACTCAGGGTTTTGGGGTTGGAAGTTGAGGGTTTAATGTTTTAGGGATTTTCGAAATTTTCGGGAGTTTGGATCTTGAGGATTTAGGGTTTAGTTTTTAGGGATTTTAGGGTCTTTGCGTCTTAGGGTGTTGGATTGTTCGTTTTTGAAACCTTCATACGGGCTAAATTGGGCTCGGTGTTTGTGGTTTAGGGCTCAGGGTTTTTGGAGGTGTTTAGGCTCTGCGGAACTTGGCACGTGAAGAAGGGTTTTGGGGTTTAGGCCTAAGGCACCGACAACCCTATACCCTCAACCCTCAGCCTATGACCTAAATCCTCAACCTCAGCCTTCTGTTCTGTCCTGTTCTCTTCTGATGATGCAAGATCTGTAGCGCGCACTTGAATTCTAGCATGCAGGGCATGCATGAATAATATTTTGGGCGCCCCTGATAATTATTTAGTTAATGCCCCACAAATGCTATTATTTTTGCGTGTCTATATGAAGATAGTAAACTGGCCTGTTCATTCGTTCACTTTGTTCACTCGTTATGTTCTTCTGAATATTATGCCGCGAGCACACAATAATGGTATGAAGACAACGTAAAAAGTCCGCAAAATACACTTCGTTTTATGATTCTCTTACGTGGGTTGAACAGATGGCTGCAGCCGTGGGCAATTCCTGTACTGAAGAGTTGAAAGTCAACACCTCCCACACACTTTCGAGAAGCTTCGAGCACGTGCACAGTGGCGCGAGCGCAGCTTTCGACTCTGTCGCTGCAGAAGCGGGGCATACAGCAGAAAGGGCATGAGCCATGTCATAAGCCCAGCTGCACTAGTAAGACCCTAAACCCTAAACCCTAAACCCTAAACCCTAAACCCTAAACCCTAAACCCTAAACCCTAAACCCTAAACCCTAAACCCTAAACCCTAAACCCTAAACCAGAAAAAAAAACCTCAGCGTATGACGGAACATGGATCCGTGGGCAGCCTAGGTTGACCTGAAAGGAGAGGGCAGAAATAGTGACCCCTATCAGTAGTACACCCTAAGGGTCCACGCCCCTGAACACCAAGCCCGGAACCCTGAACATCACTCTTCAGGGAATCTTGCCAAAGTCTGTATCTCCTAAAGCCAATCCCTGAACAGTTGAGCGTTAGGGTTGGGGGGTTCAGAGTTTAGGGCTTAGGGCCTCGAGCAAACCCAAAGGGCGAGTTTAGGGCATAGGCTTTCCCTGAATCCATGAAGCCCCGAGTTCCTGGTGGTCAAGCGCACGCATGAGGCAATGTCGGAGCAAGATGCCATCACAGAATGGCGCCGCAAACAAAACATCGAGAAGGAGGCCCACAAGGAGCCGTCGAAGATGGAGACCCTGAAACGAAAGCAAGGGAGACCCTGAAACGAAAGCAAGACCGCGAGCAAGCAAAGCTGAATGCCTTCAACGATATCAACAAAGTCAAGAGTGCAGCCCAAGAAATGGCTGAGGAGTTGTTTGAAGCAAAGCACCACCAGCAGTCGCCAGCCAAGATGCAGCGGCTCGCAGCCTCCGGTTCCACGACGGAAGATCAACTTGCAATCCCTTCAGTCGAGCGGCTGCCGTATCAAAGCTGCCCAAAATGCGGGTATGACCCCGAAACCCTAAACCCCGGAACCTCAAACCCTTTCTCCATGGGTTTCCCTACTACTCCCTCTCTACTACCCCCCCTAGGTTCGCCCCTGGAATAACCTTAATTAGGCTTAATTATCCCTAAATAGCCTTAATTATGGGGGAACCTAGGGGGGGTAGTGTAGAGCGGGTTGCAGGGGAACCCATGATACGACCGCGTGCAGGGCACGGACGGCCAGATCTTGGCCGTCTACGACCTCGGTGGAGGACTTGTATCCCATAGCTCTCAAAGGGTTTAGGGTTTAGGGTTTAGGGTTTAGGGTTTAGGGTTCAAAGTCTAGAGACTCCAAGACCCTCTAATCAAGGAAAAGTCTTAGACCAGATTCGGTTGCGCTTTATCATGACAATATAGGGGCGTGGGGCGGCTTTCAAGAACATCTGGGGTCCTGGATTTAGGTTTAGCTTCGAGTTTAGGGCTTCCACTCTCCGGAAGAAGGCCCAAGCAATCCCTAATGGTTTGCAGGTACTGTGGGGCGTGGGTCGTGGAGTCCACCATGAAGGGCTTTCTTTACTTGCAGGTTCAGGGTACTTATACCCCCAATTACTGTAGTTAGAACTTAGAACCCACTCGGCCCCTTAAGTACCCCAAGAGGGTTATAATTGCGGTAAATAGGTACAGTTTTAATTGGGTTGCTAAGTACCCTTTCAAAGGGGGAGAACCAGGGACTCGAAGGGACCCTTAATCTTATTCCCACATAGAACCCTAACCCTAAACCCTAAACCCTAAACCCCAAACCCCAAACCCCAAACCCTAAACCCTAAACCCCAAACCCTAAACCCCAAACCCTAAACCCTAAACCCTGAACCTCCAAGTATAGAGGAACCTTCGACATTTCCATCCTGGAAATCTCGGGCGGCGCCGCTTGGCTGCAGCCACGTGTTTGGGTGGGCTCAGGGCACGAAACCCTAAACCCTAAACCCTAAACCCTAAACCCTAAACCCTAAACCCTAAACCCTAAACCCTAAACCCTAAACCCCAAACCCTAAACCCTAAAACCCTAAGCCCTAAGCCCTAAAACCCTAAACCCCTAAAACCCCAAAAAACCCTAAAACCTGTTAGAGCCCAGAACTGTCATGCATGTGGAGGGCTGCTCGATTTATTATTCTTTTTCTTTTTTTTGGGGGGTTGGGGGGGGGGTGGTCCTAGGCATTGTCTGTAACTCTTTGGGGATATTCCTCGAAGCTTGGGGCAGTTTTTAACGGGATTCTTGAGGAGCCTGAAGGCTATGCGTGGGCGATGTTTTTGAGAGGTACGACGCGAGAATGTAGCAAGCCATGCTGCCAACGCATTGCCCCGGCTTAGGGTTTAGGGTTTCGGGTTTAGGGTTTAGGGTTTAGGGTTTAGGGGTTTCGAGCCGGGTGTTGTGGGCCCTCAGGGGTTTAGGTGTTGGATTTAAGGGTTTTAGGTTTGGGATACAGGGTATCTAGGTTTCGGGGATTTAGGGTTTAGGGTTTAGGGTTTAGGGTTTAGGGTTTAGGGTTTAGGGTTTAGGGTTTAGGGTTTGGGCTCTGAGGTTTGTAGGCTTGGGATTTCGAGCTTCTTAGGCTACGAGGTGGGCCTCAGCATCGAAGACTTGCTTCGCCAAATCCTGCTACGGGAGGTGTCTGAAACAGGGTTTAGGGCGTAGGGTTTAGGGTTTAGGGTTTAGGGTCCAAGACCTTACGCCCAGAACCTCTAAAATTAGAAACAGCGTCTTCGCTTCTTTTCGACAACCTTGAGCTCCAAGTCTACCCGCACCCGCCCCCTCCCCTCCTTGAACATGAATTGCTTGAAGAGCCAAACCCTAAACCCTAAACCCTAAACCCTAAACCCTAAACCCTAAACCCTAAACCCTAAACCCTAAACCCTAAACCCTAAACCCTAAACCCAAGAGGTCTTCGAAGTGAAGGCGACCAATGGCGACACCTCCTTGGGCGGCGAGGAGAAGTGGAGTTGGGTTTCTGGTGTAGGGGGGTAAACCCTAAACTCTAAAAACCCTAAGGGTTTAGGCTTTAGGGTTCAGGGTTTAGGGTTTAGGGGTTAGGGTTCAGGGCTTAGGGCTTAGGGCTTAGGGTTTAGGGTTTAGGGTTTTGGGCTTTGAAGATGACAAGGCGGATTTGGTCGTAGGCTTTGGGTTTGGGATTTAGGGTTCAGGGCCTCCAATCTTGCCCACGCGCCCGCAGCCCCAAGCACCGGGACGAACATCGGCGCGTGTGAAGCACGCACGTGTGTCTAGTACATATATATGTATGTATGTATGTATGTATGTATGTATGTATGTATGTATGTATGTATGTATGTATGTATGTATGTATGTATGTATGTATGTATGTACGTGTATGTATGTATGTACGTGTATGTATGTATGTATGTATGTATGTCTGTATGTATGTATGTATGTATGTATGTATGTATGTATGCGTGTATGTATGTATGTATGTATGTATGTATGTATGTATGTATGTATGTATGTATGTATGTATGTATGTATGTATGTATGTATGTATGTATGTATGTATGTACGCGTATGTTATGTTATGTTATGTTATGTTATGTTATGTTATGTTATGTTATGTTATGTTATGTTATGTTATGTTATGTTATGTTATGTTATGTTATGTTATGTTATGTTATGTTATGTTATGTTATGTTATGTTATGTTATGTTATGTTATGTTATGTATGTATTCATGTAGATATGTAAGATATATACTATATGTAATATGTGCAACATATGTAATATGTGTAATATATGTACTGTATGTAATCTATGTAATATATGTAGTATATGTAATATATGCAATACATGTAATATATGTAACATATGTAGTTTATGTAATATATATATATATAATATATAATATAATATAAATAAATATATATATATATATGTAATATATGTAATAAATGTATAGGTACATATGTATCATACATACATCTTATATATGTACTGGCTTCTGATTCCGAATTCAGACTAGGGTCTTATCTAGACCATATGGCCTTGATCTTGACGGATTTAGGGTTGAGCGTCAGGGTTTCAGTTTAGGGCTTTATTGGCACTGAAGTTCATTGGGTTTGGAGTGGGTCGCAAGATCATAGGACTCGCCTGAGGCGTAATCTCCAGACCCCAAACCCGAAACCCTAGACCCCAAATCCGAAACCCTAAACCCCGCATCCTAGACCCCAAACCCCAAACCCTAAGCCCTGAACCTTGAACCCTAAACCCGAAAGCCCCTGAAAGGACTTCGACCACGCCATCGTCAAGTACCTCGTGGACGAGTTCAAGAAGTCCCAGGGCCGCCCGGGCTTGACTTGGTCGCGGCGTGGTAAGGGTTTAGGGTTTAGGGTTTAGGGTTTAGGGTTTAGGGTTTAGGGTTTGGGGTTTAGGGTTTAGGGTTTAGGGTTAGGGTTTAGGGTTTAAGTTTATTTTCATGTTAGTCTGTAACATGTCTTCTTTCGTGCAATATTTGGGCGTCGGGTGCTTTAACGTTCCAAAGTTTAGGGTCGGCGTTTAGTGCTCAGGGGTTTATTTTGAGGCTAAGTAGATTATGTGTTGGGATGTTCCCCCTTATACTGACAGTCCTTCATGGGGATTATAGTACTGTACCCCTATTATAATTCCTAGTAAGAACGGTTAGTATAAAGGGGAACCATCCCAAATTGCACGTGAGGTTGAGTTATGCTAGGAGCCGGAGTAGGCCTATATTTCCTTTTTTTAAGGTTGGGGTTCCCTTACAATCCCCTTCAACCCTGAACCCTAAGCCCTAAACCCTGAAAACTCCTGGGTCTAGTATGGCATTCGCAGACTGTGACGGGGCTCTGGTACTCGCGGTGCGAACGGGTAGCTCACGGAGCGAGCTGGCTGCCGTGCTACACCAAGTTAACCCTAAACCCTAAACCCTAAACCCTAAACCCTGAACCCTGAACCCTGAACCCTGAACCCTGAACCCTGAACCCTGAACCCTGAACCCTAAACCCTAAACCCTAAACTGCCCGCTGTGGGATGAGGTCGGTCGCAACAGCGGCGAGAGCGCCGCGGTTTAGGGTTTCGGGGATTTAGGGCTTAGAGTTTAGGGTTTAGGGTTTAGGGTTTAGGTATCCGTGGTGCATATGTGTATGCAGGCACCCAGACGATGACATCCTGCGAGAAGCCTTCGCTGCAGCTAACGAGCAACCCAAAGAGTCCCCATCAATCGGTTTAGGGCCTATAGGGTTTAGGGTTAAGGGTTTAGGGTTTAGGCTTGCCTCACTTGCTGGGACATCCTGGTCCGCAAGCTACAGCGGCAAGGCCGCTGCGGACACCGAAGCCTGCTTATTTCGGGCTGTTGTTTTCTCATAAACCCTAAACCCTAAACCCTAAACCCTTTGTGCGAAGCCTAAACGCTGGCCTTAAATTGCCTTAAAACCCTGAGACCTAAGCCCGGAAGCCCCAAACCCAAGCCCTCCCAAAAAAGAAACCAACCTTCATCCCCAAACCTCCTCCCACCGTCCTAAGCCCTAGAAACTCGAAGCCTTAAGCCCTAAACCCTACACTTTTAAATCTCCTAAACCCTAAACCCTGAACCCTAAACTCCTAACTTCCTGAACTCCTGAACCCTGAACTCCTAAACTCCTAAACTCCTGAACTCCTAAGCTCCTAAACTCCTAAACCATAAGCCCTGAACCCCTAGACTCCTAAACTCCTAACCCCTAAACCCTCAACTCCTACACTCCTAAACCCTCAGCCCTAACCCTAAACTCCTGAACCCCTAGCACCCCAAACTCTAAACCATGAACTCCTCATCCCTAAACTCCTAACCCCTAAACCCCTAGACCCTAAACTCCTACACTCCTAAGCCCTGAACCCTAAACCCCTGGACCTCTAGCAGCCCAAACTCCTAAGCCCTCAACTCGAAGCCCCTAAACTCCTTAACTCCTGGACCCTTCAACTCCTCGACAATAAACCCCTAAGCCCTGAACCCCTAAACCCTCAACACCACCTCGAACCCTAGAACCCTAGACCCTAAACCCTAAACCCTAAACCCTAAACCCTAGACCCTAAACCCTAAACCCTAAACCCTAAAGAACCCATGTCCCGGCGCCCGCATATGAAGGTATCGACCTGGGCCAGGACAAGCACCTCGGCTGCAGCTGCTGGGGACTCCTTGCAAGAAGGGGATAGCGCGGTTTAGGGTTTAGGGTTTAGGGTTTAGGGTTTAGGGTTTAGGGTTTAGGGTTTAGGGTTTAGGGTTTAGGGTTTAGGGTTTAGGGCTACATACGATGTACTCCGAAGTCTACACCTGAAAGGCCCTAGCGTCAAACCCCAGTTGCAACCTAAGCCCTGAGCTGACAACTACACCCAAAACCCTAGACGTCTCGAACCCCATCATGACACCCCCTAAACCCTAAACCCTAAACCCTAAACCCTAAACCCTAAACCCTAAACCCTAAACCCTAAACCCTAAACCCTAAACCCCCTCAAGGTTGGCTTTGCAGCGTCTGCGCGAGGCATCCGAGGCCCCCCCTGCGCGTTTGCTTCGGGTTTAGGGTAGAGTTTAGGGTTTAGGGTTTAGGGTTTAGGGTTTAGGGTTTAGGGTTTAGGGTTTAGGGTTTAGGGTTTAGGGTTTAGGGTTTAGGGTTTAGGGTTTAGGGTTTAGGGTTTAGGGTGTAGCATTGAGCGCAGACATGCCCACCCGAAGGCTCGAGCCAGCCTAAACAAAGCCAAAGCCATTCCAACTTCGCATGTCGAAACCTTTTTTAGGGGCATTCGAGCCACTTGGACGCTTGAAACGCCGGGAACAGTTGGGACCTGTGGGTCACATAGACCACTTGGAACATTCGGCACGTATTTGGCGCAGAACTGCTTTTGGGGTGAGGGGTGTGCGGGTTTAGGGTTTAGGACCGAGGGGGGTTTAGGGTTTAGGGTTTATAGGGTTTAGGGTTTAGGGTTTAGGGTTTAGGGTTTCGGGTTTACTGGGTTGGCTTGGGGCGGGTCGGGGAGGTCGAGTGTCTGCCGCTCAACCTGAAACCTCAACCGCGCGCCCCTACAAGTGTGGTTCGGCCTCTGGTGAAGCCGAAAGCCTAGTATAGGGGTTTAGGGTTTAGGGTTTAGGGGTTTAGGGTTTAGGGTTTAGGGTTTAGGGTTCCGTATGGTCCCCTTAGAAGTGGACTATAAGTGACCCCCAAAACCCTATTCTAATTATTCAGGCCCCTTGATTACAGCCTAAGCAAGTGAACCCTAAACCGTAAACCCTAAACCCTAAACCCTAAACCAGCCCCCGAACCCCATCGACTCGCAACCCTCAAGCCAAAACCCCAAGCTGGGTGATCGGGGGCCTCGGCTCAAGGTAAAGTGTCAAGTGCTCTTAAAGGAACCCTGATTTTGTTCTACTCAAAAGCCAAACCCTAACCGAGTCAAACCCTAGGTAAAAGTAAAAAACCAGCCTAAACTCGCTGACAGAGGTTTAACCCCCTAAACCCAAAACCCTAGACCCTAAACCCTAAACCCCCTTACACACCTTGGACTTGGAGCCTTGAAAAGGGCAGGCCCAGTTGTAAAATCTGCAGGATTTAGGGTTTAGGGTAAGAGGGTTTATGTTAGCCACCTAAGCCCTAAACTCTGAACCGTCAGAATCATGCTAACCATATAAGCCCAAAACCCTAGAATCATAACATAGTCATCTAGGCCCTCAACCTTTTAACCCTAAACCCAGCACATGTCTGGTGCGCAGGTCGCGAAGGTGGAGCTTTCCAGCAAGGCGCTGTCAGAGAACGGTCTATCTAGATCGAACGCAAGAATCGAACACACTAGTCGGGCTCAAGGCTTTGGGTGGAAGGGTTTTTCTAAAAGGCGCCGTAAAGAATCCAAGGCCTGGAACCCTAAGCCCTAAACCCTTAAGGTAGAGTCTAAGGTTTGCAGGGTAAGCCCTCCCCGAAAGGTTCCGCGTTGTAACAAATCTACGGGTCTTCATGGGCCCTAAACCCTGAACCCTGAACCCTGAACCCTAAACCCTTACAGCTGTTGTATGTGGCCTGTCTCGCGTTGTGAGGGAACATGTACTCGGGTGAATTTTGAACGGGTGTGGTGTGGCAAGGTTGTTCAACCTGTTCCCCATACAGCCCTTCAGCTCCCTTACACACCCATAGAAGCCCCCAATGATTTCGCAAGCAGGACCTTTAGCCTCCGCCGTGGCCTCTGAAGCCCTTTTAAGGTTTCTAGAGGACTCGGTGAACATGTGTTTCTTATTTGGTTTAGGCTTTAGGGTTCAGGGCTCAGGACCCTGCGATGAAGGGCTAAAATCTGCTAAAGTGTAGGGTCTGGGGGATGGATCAAAAGTTATACGGGGCGTTCAAGGCTGAGGGTCGTAGGTTTCTTACAAAGGGCTGCGACAAAGTGGATGAGAGCCTCTTATACGCTAGCCCCAAAATCCCTGAAGCCTGAACTCTAAACACGAAACCCGAAACCCTAAACCCTACAACCCGACTTGTCGTCTCCTGTGCTCGAAGCAACACGCCAAAGCCCTAAATCTCGGCCCCTAGACTCCACGACCTGCTAAGACTGGGCCATTGTTGAAAAAGAGCGTTTAGGGTTTTGGGTTTAAGGGTTTAGGGTTTAGGGTTTTGGGTTTTGGGTTTTGGGTTTTGGGTTTAAGGGTTTCTTACATTTTGTATGAACAAGTAAGCCCAAGAAGGAAGAACGAAGAACATGTTTACTCACATCCCGAGAATGCCCCTAAACCCTAAACCCTAATCCCCTTAATCCTAAAACCCTAAACCTCAAACCTTAAGCCCTAAACCCTAACACCCAAACACTAAAACCCTAAACCCTAACACCCTAACCCTCTAAAACCCGAACCCCTAAGTCCGAAAACCCTAAACCCTAAACCCTAAACCCTAAACCCTAAACCCTAAACCCTAAACCCTAAACCCTAAACCCTAAACCCTAAACCCTAAACCCCCAACAATGGCACGGAAGAATGGGCGGCAGGTTCAGACCGACGTCAACCTCCCCTTCATCACTGCGGACCAGAGTGCCCTGGCCCTGTGAACTTTATAAAAGGGTTTAGGGTTTAGGGTTTCTAGACCCTTTGATCCCTAGAAACCCTATAAACCGTTGAATCACAAAAAAGGGCTGTAAACCCTGTATTCCTTCTAAGCCCTCTAAACCCCTGCCAAGACCTAGACGCAGTCAGGGCCGGGGTTAGGGTTCAGGTTTCAGGGTTTAGGGTTCAGGGTCCAGAGTTTAGGGTTAGGTTTAGGTCTCAGGGTAGTTGCCAGGGCCCTCAATTGTATACCACAAGCCGAAGGGCCCATGATTCCTTCATAAAGGGTCATATGAAGGGACCATGGAACTGTTCTTTCTGATCTGGGTTCCCTAACCCTAAACCCTAAACCTTGAACCCTATACCCCAAAAACCTTAAAAGGGTTTAGGGTTTAGGGTTTAGGGTTTAGGGTTTAGGGTTTAGGGTTTAGGGTTTAGGGTTTAGGGTTTAGGGCCACATCAGGGGGGCCTCGCCTCTCAAACCACCTCAGTTTAGGTTTTAGGGTTTGGGGTTGAGGTTTGGGGTTGAGGGTTGAGGGTTAGGAGTTTTGGTGTTTTGGCTTTTGGGCTTGGGATTTTCGCGGTTTAGGGTTCAACGGTTTAGCGCCATGGTGGGTTGGGGGCAGGTTCGATAGCCCTAGTGCCACAGCGAGCCATCATTGCCAAAGCCACCACCACAAGTTGCTTGAAGTGAAGTGAATCTATGTGAGGCATGAACTAAAGCTGAACCCATCAATCCCCTACCCGCAGGGTCATGCGGCATGCGCCCTTGTACGGTAATAGGGAACCCGTGCATTTAGCTAGCCACGAAGCTTGCGTCAACCTCTAAACTCCAAAATCGCAAGCCTGAACCCTAAGCCTCAAACCGGAAACACTAAACCCCAAAGCCCAATCTCCTAGGGATAAGAACAGATTTAGGGTTGATATGTAGGGTGGAGGGTTTAGGCTTTGGGGACAAAACTTACGGGGGTGCAAGCTTATTTTTTCAGGGAATCTTGCTGTTTGGGGGGGGTCTATAAGTGGCTCCCCTATTTTCGGAAACCTCCATTTGGCTGGTTAGGGTTTAGGGTTTAGGGTTTAAGGTTTAGGGTCTGGCCCTGCATCCCTCAACGAAAAAGGAATTCCTTAAGTCAGATGTGAACTCCCTCCAAATGGAGGCGCATTCCCTAGTTAGGCGACCTTAACCCATAAACCCTGAACCCTAAACCCTAAGTCCTAAACCCTAAACCCTAAACCCTAAACCCTAAACCCTAAACCCTAAACCCTAAACCCCAATCATCGGGGATGTTGCTATTCGTTGCTGGAGTCCCTTGGTCCCAGGCGGTCCCAAGCACATGAACATCCAGATGACGCGATCGCGCCCGGGCCAACACCTCGAGGGTTTAGGGTTTAGGGCTTGGGGTTTAGGGTTTAGGGTTTAGGGCTTGGGGTTTAGGGTTTAGGGTGTAGGGTTTGGGCTTTAGGGCTTGGGGTTTAGGGCTTACGGTTTGGGTTAAGGGCTTGGGGTTCAGGGTTGTTTGGGATTAAGGGTTTGGGGTTTGGGGGTTCAGGAACTGCAAGGGTACGTACTCCATGTAAGAGGACCCCCACATCTTAGGAAGCCTTGCCTTAGGGTTTCGGGTTTAGGGTTCAGCAGCTCCGGGTCGAGCAATCTCTAGTAGAGCCGCTGTTTGGGCTCTCGAAAAAACCCACCCACCCAGAGAATCCCAAAACATTAAGAAATAACAAGTTTACATTTTTCATCAGCAAGCTCTGTCCTCCAACCCTTAGCCACGAAGAAAATGACCCTTAGCCACGAAGGAAATGACCCTTAGCCACGAAGGAAATGACCCTTAGCCACGAAGAAATGACCCTTAGCCACGAAGAAATGACCCTTAGCCACGAAGAAATACCCTTAGCCACGAAGAAATGGCCCTTAGCCACGAAGAAATGACCCTTAGCCACGAAGAAATGACCCTTAGCCACGAAGAAATGACCCTTAGCCACGAAGAAATGACCCTTAGCCACGAAGGAAATGACCCTTAGCCACGAAGAAATGACCCTTAGCCACGAAGAAATGGCCCTTAGCACCCAGGAAATGGCCCTTAGCGACCAAGAAATGGCCCTTAGCGACGAAGAAATGGCCCTTAGCGAAGAAATGACCCTTAGCCATGAAGGTGCATAGGGTTTAAATATAAATTTAAATATATATATATATATATGTGATAGAGAGGTTTAGGGTTTAGGGTTTAGGGTTTAGGGTTTAGGGTTTAGGGTTTAGGGTTTAGGGTTTAGGGTTTAGGGTTTAGGGTTTAGGGTTTAGGGTTTAGGGTTTAGGGTTTAGGGTTTAGGGCGGATTGCGGCGCCCATTTATGACAATGAAGTCCCGTTGTAGTTTTAACATAATTATGATGGGGCTTGGGATCTGTTGTAAGCCCTCATTGAGCAGAAAAGGGGTTTGGGGCGTAGGCGGTCAGGGCTTCTGAACCCTGAACCCTAAACCCTAAACCCCTTAACACCTTAAACCCTCAACCCCCCAAGCCCTGAAAACTAAACCCTAAACCCCCGAAACCCTGAACCCTAAACGCCTTAAACCCAAAACCCCCCGAAACCCTGAACCCTAAACCTTAAACCTCCGCAACCCTAATCCCCAAAGCCACCCCCTCCTCGTCTCAACGAAGCCCTAAACCCTGATTCCTAAACCATGAACCCTAAACCCTAAACCCTAAACCCTAAACCCTAAACCCTAAACACCCTAAGCCGCCTAAGGGACCCCAAAACCCTCCCCTCCTCTCAAGGAAGCTGGAGCAGATCGTCGACTCTTTCCTTCAGCGCACCCGGGCCCCTTGCTTGGCCTGCAACAAGGCCCGGCAGCAGTTTGGGTGGGTTTAGGGTTTAGGGTTTAGGGATTGGGGTTTAGGGTTTAGGGTTTAGGGTTTTGGGTTCAGGGTTCAGGGTTTAGGGTTTAGGGTTTAGGGTTTCGGGTAGTAACTAGTCCAGGCTTGGAGATTGTAGGATTTATCGGGTTGCAGTTGTTGATTAGCGTTTTGTGTGTGTGTGTGTGTGTGTGATTGATTGCGTATTTGTTTTCGTTGTTTGTTTTGGTGATGTTGTGCTTAGGGCTTAGGGGTTTAGAGTGTCTGGCGGTTGAAGTTTCGGGGGGGAGGGTGGGGCGAAGGCTGTTGAAGAACTCTGTGCAGCATACCATGGGTATCTACACTTGGTATATACTAGGATGTTCCAGGTTCGGTCGATTAGTTTATTTCATGAATGGTAAAAAAGGGTTACGGGTTGTAAGGTTTGCAATGTTAAATGTCCTAGGCTTAAGCCCCGAATCCGCCGTTAGCCCTAAACCCTAAACCCTGAACATAAACCCGAAACCCTAAATCCTAAACAGAGTTAGAAGTAGTGGGGTTTTGGGTTGGGGCTTTGGGGACTTTGGCTTACGAGGCTTTCGGTTTTTTTTTCAGATTGAGCATTCAAAGGGCTTAGAGCTTTAAAGGGGTTAGGGTTTGGGATTTAGGGTTTAGGGTACGTTCGCTTAGTCTAGGGCAAAGTTTCGGGCTTCGGCAGTTTAAGTCGTTTGTAGCACTACGAAAACACGCGGCTTTACCCTGTTCTGAAGATCCATTAACGAATTTCCGTGGGTGGTGGTTTGTTTAGGGTTTAGGGTTTCGGGTTTAGGGTTAGGGTTTAGGGCTTGAAGGTCTGCGTTTCCACGGCGTCCTCGCTCCAGGCGAAAGCGTTGTAGAATCAGGATCGGGAGTGTTTACTACGCGTCATTCGTTCATTGCCATGCTGGTCGACGACGCCGCAGTCCTCGCAGGCCTCGACAAACGGAGATGTGGTCACCGTGAAAAGGCACAGATACGTAAGCTACACGTTTTCTCTCGTTATTCACCCGAAGATGATGTTTGTCAAGCTAACTTGTTAACGCCTGAAGAGGATCGTAGTTAGTCGGCATATTTGAGAGGGCCAACCATGGCCAGAGTTTTCTAGGGTTTCGCAGGTACTTAGAAATTATAGGGCTTAGGGCTTAGGGTTTCCACGTTCCCAAAGAAAAGCGTGATGCCGCTGAATCACACCGTGCCTCGCCCTGCGGGAGTGGCTTCCGCCAGAAACTCTGTGGTTCTTTGCTGTATCCCTAGATCCTTCGTCCCTAAGCTTTAAACCCCAAACCCCAAACCCCAAACCCTAAACCCTAAACCCTAAACCCTAAACCCTAAACCCTAAACCCTATTTGGAACTCATGGTTGTCTTAGGTGGCTTTGGTTTTTGCAAGGTGCCAAAGTGCCGCCAAGCAAGCCCCAAACCCGACTCCTTGATGTGGGCTTCGGGGTGTGCTGCATCCTAAGCACTGGGCTCTAAGTACATTATTTGAACTCATCCGGGTTGCATTGAGTGGAACCCTAAGCCCTAAACTCTAAACCCGAAATTTCAATCCCCAAACCCTAAACCCCTAAACCCTAAACCCTAAACCCCTAAACCCCTAAACCCTTATATGTTTTCAACCTTGTGCCCCCTAATCTGCAGAGGATGCCGGCGTGGATCCCAAGGATATCACTGAGGCGGGCATGAGGCCTCAGGCTTTTTAGGCCTTTAGGCCTTTAGGCCTTTAGGCTTTTAGGTTTTTGGGGTTTTAGGGTTTTAGGGTTTTGGGGTTTTAGGGTTTTAGGCTTTTAGGGTTTTAGGGTTTTAGTTTTTTAGGGTTTTAGGGTTTTAGGCTTTTAGGCTTTTAGGCTTTTAGGCTTTTGGGCATTTAGGCTTTTGGGCTTTGGGCTTTAGGTTTTAGGGTTTTGGGCTTAGGGGCCTTTTAGGGTGTAGGGTTATAGGGTTTAGGGTTTTTGGGTTGCGGGCTTTTGGGTTACACGTTTTGTGGTCCAGGGTTGTAGGGTGTAGGGTTAAAGGGTCAAGTTTATATGACGTTCAGGGCTCTCGTGTCGAGCGTGCAGCTGTGGGATTTTGGTGCTTCGGGGCTTCGCGTGGGGTGTAACGCGAAAATCCCCCCTCAACACAAGCCTACTCGTACTACGGGCGTTTCCTTTTTCTTGGTGGGGGGGGGGTCCATGACAATTCTGCTCTAGTATGTTGGAGTGTGTTAGCGTTACCCAGCGACCCCCTCTTTTAGCGACGACCCCATTGGCGCGTGAGGCTTCGGGGGAGTGGCTGGTTTGCTCTCACTTCTCCTTTTCCGGACTTCTGATCTGTTAAAGTACTATTGTTCCTTTCTAAAGGAACCGAAAAGGGTACCCGGGTACCCCAAATTTGCCAGCCCCTCTGTTTTAGTACAGTTCTGAAAGCGCTTGGGGTTTATAGAGTTGACCGGGCGCCCCCTAAGCCTTAAACCCAAAAATCCCGACATAAACCCTAAACCCCAAAGCCCAAACCCTAAACCCTAAACCCTAAACCCTAAACCCTAAACCCTAAGTGGGCAGGTGCTTCTCGTCGGTGGCATGACGCGCATGCCCAAGGCCGGCCCACTGCAGGCTTGAGTGTTCCAAATTTAGGGTTCAGGGTTTTTTTAGGGTTTAGGATTTTTAGGGTTTAGGGTTTCGGGTTTAGGGTTTCGGGTTTAGGGTTTAGGGTTTAGGGTTTAGGGCTTAGGGTTTAGGGTTTAGGGTTTGGGGCGCAGTTGCCTGGCCCCTTTCCATATGGCCCCTTACCTTCTTTAAGGGGTTCTGAAGCACGGGCCCTTGGGTGTTTTAAGGTGTATAGGGTGTATATATGGGTTCCCCAATTAAGGGCCCATTGTCACCGACCGTGTAGCTACCCTAAACCAATAGCCCCAAACCCACAAAAACTCGAAACTCAAACGCTCAGCTATCCAAAAGAACTCAGCCCTGCGACCACCCGAAACCCGGCATCCCGAACTTGAGTTTCCTAAGCTCTCCAAGTTTCGAAGCTTCCGGCCTAAACCCTAGACCCTTTACCCCCCCCCCCCCCCCAAATGGCCCCACCCAAGCTCGCGATGAGTTGATGCTGGTCATCGGACGGGTGTCCTAAACCCATTTTGCCTCAAGTTTGCTCAAGCATCCCCTCTCCCAAGCATCCTACGCCGCCATGCTTCCCGCGGAGTTGCACGGAGCTGCACCTCGGTACAAGCTGCCACGACGATCCAGGCGCTGTACCGCGGACGCAGGCTTCGAAAGCATCTACTCCTGGAGCGCCGGTGGCAGGCGCAGCTGGGTACAAGACTTCGGATGACACAGCCGTCTGGAACCGGAGGAGAAGCGTGCAATCCCTAAACCCTGAATTCTAAACGGTAAGTCCGAAAACCTAAGCCCGAAACCTAAAAGCCCTCTTGGGTTTGCTGGGTTTAGAATTTAGGGTTTAGGGTGTAGGGTTCAAGACATTGTTTGAGCGTTTTAGGTTTTTAGTGCTTTTGGGTTTGCATGGTTTTTAGGGTCGTTAGTATGAACCATAAACCCTGTGAGCCCTAAACCCTTGTCCCTACCCCTACACCCTAAACCCTATAAGACCAAAGCCCTATAAGCCCTACCCTAAACTCTATAAACTTCTAAACCCTAGACCCTATAAACCCTATAAACCCAATAAACCCCATAAACCCTATGAACCCTATAAACCCTACAAACCCTATAAACCCTATACACCCTGTAAACCCTACAAACGCTATAAACCCTATAAACCCTGTGAACCCTATAAACCCTATAAACCCTATACACACTAGAAACCCTATAACCCTATAAACCCTATAACCCTAAACCCTATAAACCCAATACTCCCTATAAGTCCTATAAACCCGACAAACCATATAAAACCTGTAAACCCTATGAACCTATAAACCCTGTGAACCCAAACCCTTAAACAGGTGACGGAGATTGTGCAGGAGGTCTATCAGAACCCTAGAAACCTGAAAAACCCCCTAAAAACCCTAAAAGACCCCATAAACCCTTAAACAGGTGACGGAGATTGTGCAGGAGGTCTATCAGAACCCTAGAAACCTGAAAAAACCTCTAAAAACCCTAAAAGACCCTATAAACCCTTAAACAGGTGACGGAGATTGTGCAGGAGGTCTATCAGAACCCCAGAAACCTGAAAAAAACCCTAAAAACCCTAAAAGAGCCTATAAACCCTCAAACAGGTGACGGAGATTGTGCACGAGGTCTATCAGAACCCTAGAAACCTGAAAAACCCTCTAAAAACCCTAAAAGACCCTATAAACCCTCAAACAGGTGACGGAGATTGTGCAGGAGGTCTATCAGAACCCTAGAACCTGAAAAACCCCCTAAAAACCCTAAAAGACCCTATAAACCCTCAAACAGGTGACGGAGATTGTGCAGGAGGTCTATCAGAACCCTAGAAATCTTGAAAAACTCCTAAAAACCCTTAAAGACCCTCTAAACCCTTAAACAGGTGACGGAGATTGTGCAGGAGGTCTATCAGAACCCTAGAAACCTTGAAAAACTCCTAAAAACCCTTAAAGACTCTATAAACCCTTAAACAGGTGACGGAGATTGTGCAGGAGGTCTATCAGAAGGAGCCCTCCAAGTCAGTGAACCCCGACGAGGCCGGAGTTCTTTAGATGGGCTCCAAAGGCGTTTAGGGTTTTGGGTTTTGGGTTTTGGTGTTTTGGGTTCAGGGCTTAGGGTTTAGGGTTTGGGGTTTAGGGTTTTGGGTTTTGGGTTTTGGGGTTTCAAGCCGGGTCCCTGCCACAGTTTTGCATGCGGTTTTGTGGGGGGGGGGGGGGGGGCTGGGCGTTAGGGTTGGAGGGTTTTAGGGCTTTAGGGCTTTAGGGTTTAGGCTGTTAGGGTTCAGGGTTTTCAGCTTTCTGGGTGTTAGAGTTTTGGGGTTTTGGGGCTTAGGTTTTTTGGGGTAATAGGCGCTTTAGGATGTAGAGCTTTTTAGGCTTTTGGTGTCTAGGTTGTTAGAATTGGGGCCATAGGGCTTCTCGCGTGAGGATTCGGGGTTTATAGGGCTTCGAGTTGTTTCAGGCTTGTTGGGCTTCAGTTTTGGCTCTCGATCCACGTAAACCTACCCAACTTCAGTGTGTGTGTGTGTGTGTGTGCGCTTTATCCCCCAAAGGCATAGGCTTCAGTCAAGGATACTATTGCAGACATAGTACTCTTTCCTACTCTCTTCACTTAACCTGGAGATACTACTGTACCCTAAACCCTAAACCTTAAATCTGAAACTTTCAGCCTGGAGCAAAGAACCCTAAACCCTGAACCCTGAACCCTGAACCCTGAACCCTGAACCCTAAACCCTAAACCCTAAACCCTTAACCCTTAACCCTTAACCCTAAACCCTTAACCCTAAACCCTAAACCCAAACCCTAAACCCTCAACCCTAAACCCTAAACCCTAACCCTAAACCCTAAACCCTAAACCCTAAACCCTAAACCCTAAACCCTAAACCCTAAACCCTAAACCCTGCACTCATTTTTCAGAGGCTGTGGCCATGGGGGCTGCGATCCAGGCGGGCGTGCTGAAGGGCGATGTCAAGGCGGGCGAAGCACCCCACACCCCAAGGGCTTAGGGTTTAGGGCTTAGGGCTTAGGGCTTAGGGCGTAGGGTTTAGGGTTTAGGGTTTAGGGTTTAGGAAGAGTTCTGGGCTTCGGGATAAGGGGTTGGTGTATAGGCTTTAGGGCTTACAGGCCGCAGTTTGGGGTTTGGAGCTTTTGGGTTCGGGAAAAGGTCCTGCCAAAAGCTTCTGGCGACGCGGCAAATCCTAAGCTAAGCGGGTTTTTTTCTGGGCACACGGTAAGCTGTTCGAGGGACTGGGATCACTTTTCTGGCTGAAGAAAACCACATAACGTCTCAAAGTCAACCTGTAAACACACAGACCCTTACTTGCCCCGAATCCCTAAAGGCCCCATTCATGGACCTATGCAACGAAAGGACATCCTCCTGCTGGATGTGACGCCCCTCTCCCTGGGCATTGAGACCCTTGGAGGCCAGCTGACAAGATGTGTTGAGGGGCCGCGTATCTACTGTAGAACGGCTGCAATTGAACACCCTAAACCCCTAAACCCCTAAACCCGCTAAACCCTAAACCCTAAACCCCTAAATTATGACCCTAAACCCTAAACCCTAAACCCTAAACCCTAAACCCTAAATAATTACCCTAAACCCTGAACCCTAAACCAAAGGGTCTGAACTCTACGTAAGCAGCCGAGGCAGCATCCCGGGAGTTGACGAGTTTTCATGCACCAATGGTTGGATGTCGCTTTCGTGGGACTCCAACCCTAAACGAGAGTTTAGGGTTTAAGGTTTAGGGTTTAGGGTTTAGGGCTCTCTATCTCTCCTCTTTTCCGGTCCTCCCTCACCTGCGTCGGGTCCTCCTCCTTATCCGGTGTTTGGGGGTTTGAGAAGGTTCAGGGTTTATGTTTTAGGGTTCATGGAAGATTTTGGGTTTAGGGTTTTGTGTTTAGGGTTTAGGGTTTAGGAGTTAGGCTTCAGGAGGGATTTAGGTTTAGGATTCAGGGTTTTAGGGTTTACCAAACTTGTCAGACACACGGACAAACCACACCCCATGGTCCTAGCGCAGGTTTTGTGGCTTTGGCAGGTCTTCTTAAGGGTAGCAAGAGGCCCTACACCCCCAGTCCTAAACCCTAAACCCCAAACCCTAAACCCTAAACCCCAAGACCCAAACCCTAAACTCGACCTCATCAGGCGTCTTCACACGCCTCATCGGACGAAACACCACCATCCCGACCAAGAAGTCGCAGGTAGGTGTGTGTCCGGAAGCCCCCAGCCCTAAACCAAATCTAAGTTGGGGTTACGGGTGTTGGGTCTAGAGTTTAGGGTTTAAACCAGTTGGGGGTTTCTATTGGGGGGCCCCTTATTTTCGGAAACACTCAGTTTAGGGTTTTGGGTTCTACGATTTGGGTGCTCTCAAGCCCTGAGCCCTCAGCAACAATCTCGTCACCGCAATCGAGATAGGTCATTCCCTAGACCCTAAACCCTGCATACCACCCTAGCAACCCCCGAGCCCTTGAAAAGCTTGTGCAACCCATCCCCCCCCCCCCCCCCCCTATAAGCGCGCTAACCCACCTTGCCCAAAAGTAAATATTTGGGTTGTGCTTTGTTAATAAATGTCCCTTCTTTCCGCCCAAGGAAGCTATGCTATTCATGAGCAATATTCAAAGGGTTTGAAGCACAACTCAGTAGATAAATCACGAGATCCTAGGCACTTGGTATATTTACCCTGAAAGGGTTTTAAGAGGATCATATTGCGGAGTATTTTCAAGCAAGGGGGTGGAAGGGAGGGGGTGTCAGGGGGCCATCTTCCCTTATTGGGGCCTCTGCAGGCTTATTTGGGTTTATTCAGCCCTGATAGCCCTAAACCCTAAGCCATAAGCCTTAAACCCTCAACCCTAAACCTTATCTTGGGTAAGGGTGAAGGCTTTAGGCTCAGGGGTCAGTTTGTTCCATCTGCTCACTGCCAGGTGTTCTCCACGGCTGCAGACAACCAGACCCAGGCGACTCTCCTCCAAAAGCCCTGAGTCCGAACCCGCAAAAACTTTAAATCCTAGACCTCGAACCCTAGACCCTAAACCCCAAACCCTAAACCTGTACCATATCCTAAACCTAACCTATAAACCCCTGTAAACCCGTAAGCCCTTGGGCCCTAAACCCTTGAGCCCTTCGAGCTGTTCAGGGGTTTCTTTGGGGTTTCGGGGGGTGGTCGAACTGAAGGGCACAGCAAGCCATAAAACCTAGACCCCAAACCCTAAACCCCAACCCTAAACCCCAAACCCCAAACCCTAAACCGGGGGCCCCAGGAGCTTCAGGGCTAAGGTTTAGGCTGTTTTTTTCGAAGGGTTTAGGGTTTAGGGCGATGCCTTTGAGCCGGCTGTTGGGGTTGAGTTGAACCCCAAACCCTACATACACCCCAATTCCTACACGCTTAACCCTAAGCCCTCAACCCTACATAAACCGCAAGTCCTAGACCCTCAAGCCTCAACCCTAATTCTAAACTCTAAGGCCCTAACCCTAAACGCGAAGGCCCTTAACCCTATACCCTATACCCTATACCCCAAACCCTAAACCCCAGACCCTAGACCCTAAACCCTAAACCCCACTGCAGGTCGGCATCAAGGTCTTCCAGGGCGAGCGTGAGATGGCAGCCGACTCTGGGTCGCACGCGTTGGGTTTTGACGACATGAACCCGAGCATTGGGTTTAGGGTTTAGGGTTTAGGGTTTAGGGTTTAGGGTTTAGGGTTTAGGGTTTAGGGTTTAGGGTTTAGGGTTTGGGGTTCAGGGTTTAGGGTTTAGGGTTTAGGGTTTAGGGTTACTTGGATGTTCCCCCTTATACTAACAGTCCTTCACGGGATTTTAGAATAGGGTGTACTGTAATCCCTATGTAGAACTGCTAGTATAAGGGGAAACATCCCAAGTTTTAGGGTTCACTGCGCCATTGTTCAATATGAATAATTTCTGACGCAGAAGAACGTAAACTGGCGGAGTGGACCTGCCAACTGCAAGCGTTGCGTCTTCTTGGTAGCAACTGGGTGTGTGAGTTCGTTACATGTCCCGCACGGAGTTCTGCAAAGACGTATGACAGTGGATCCATGGATATCATGCCCATCGCGCTAAGAAACAAAATTCCAACAGAAGTCACGACTTTTGTACAGAGTTTAATGGAGATACGATTTAGACATTAAGAACTCTGTTTGCTGGGTCTTTTCGCTTTTTCACTCACAGAACACTACATCTGTTAAATATTGTCCTTTCTTGGCCACCGCTAATTTCTCTCGCTCATGAAGGCTCATTACGTAAAGAATGCGTCATTGATGTGTTTAGTCCTTCTTTGTCGGAACTGAAGCCCAGTTACAAAATCCATAGCAACAATCATCCACACTTGTAGTTATTCACAATTCCGGCCAATATTCAGCACACCATTTAATATCGAACTTTGTTTTCTCGGGCCAGCCCGGTTCTCCAAACCCTAAACCCTCACCCTAGAGACCTTAACCCCCCTCTTCTAACCTTTGGGGGTTTCTGAATTTAGGGGTGCCTTGTTGGGGTCCTTATTATAAGGGAATCCTACTACTTGGGGGTGTATATTGGGGGTCCGCGATTGTCGGAAATCCTAAACCCTAAACCCTGCTGAACCCCTATTTTCGTAAACCCCGCCCCCCCATTTCAGGATAACCAGATGCTCGGCCAGTTCGACCTCGTCGGCCCCTTCACCACAGAGAGGGCTCTGTCTTGGGTTGAGGCTTACTTGGGGTACTTATAACCCAATTTTAAGTGCAGCTATAACCCACTCAGAAGCCCCTTAAGTACCCCAATAGGGTTATCGTTTGCTTATAAGTACAGCTATAATTGTACTAAGTACCCTGAACCTCCAAGTAGGGTCTAGGATCTAGGCTTTTCGGGTTTCGGCTGCTATCTGTAGGTGAATGTCCTGATCTGTAGGTTAATGTCCTGAAGCCCAAAGTGCTTTTCAAAGAAGCAAAGTAGGTTAGGGTTCTTAACGGGACACTAAGTTCTAGACTCTAGACCTTTAACCCCCGAGCCACAGCAGACCCTCGAATCACGTTGGGCAGGAAAAGCTCCCTAACTGTGCGTCCGCAGTTGTGTACCCGTACCCGTTCTACTACTAATTGCTTAAGAGCCCCCAAAAAAATGAAAATATTCTTCCTTACTAAGGGTAATATAGGGATTCCTTTTTTTTTTAAAAGTTTTGGGGGTTCTTAAGCAAATAATAGTCTATCATTTGCGCCCTCAGATCTAGAGTTAGCCCTGAGCTGACCCTGAACAACACCCCCCCCCCCCCCCCTTCAAACAGGCCCCAGACTACAGCCCCTTATCTCGCCGCCCCAACAACAACGATTTTAGCAACGTGCTGGAGAACGTGGAAATGGCTCGCGCCGCGAACGCCCGACGGCAGTGGTCTTTTCGGCATGTCAAGTACACGAAACACTGGTGAATTCCGATACAATCGGCACGTGCACCCTAAACTCTAAACCCAAAAAACCCCAAACCCCAAACCCCAAACCCTGAACCCTGAACCCCAAACACTAAACCCAAACCCTGAACCCTAAACCCTACACCCTAAACCCTAAGCCCTAAGCCCTAAACCCTAAACCCTAAACCCTAAACCCTAAACCCTAAACCCTAAACCCTAAACCCTAAACCCTAAACCCTAAACCCTAAACCCTAAACGTCACGTCCGCCGAGGCATCCCGCCGGCTCCTCGAGGCGTTCCCCAGTGGCCCGGGCAGCAGGGAAGCTATTCAGGGTTTCGGGTTTAGGGTTTAGGGTTTAGGGTTTAGGGTTTAGGATGTAAATGTTTAGGGTTTGGGGAGGGGTGGGGGGGGGGTGGGGAGCCCAAAGCCCAGGATCGAGGTGACCTTCGACATTGATGCCAACGGCATCGTCAATGTCAGCGCGTCGGACAAGGGAACAGGACGGTTCAGGGGCTTTTATGTTGGCCTTTCCTAGCTGAGGTCCTTTGCGTCTGCAAGAGCGTGCCCTCTTGCGTAGCCGGGCTATGTGCTGGGCTGGGGCGTTCGCCAGCGTGAACTCCAAGTGGAGGGGGCAATGACACTTGCGGAGCCCCCTGAGAAGCCGGGAGGGATGGGTTTAGGTTTAGGGTCAGTGTTTAGGGTTTAGGGTTTAGGGTTACCCTAAGTCCTAAACCGCCAACAGCAATTCCCTTGAACTGCCGGTGGGGCCTCTGCAGGAAAGAAGCAGGCGATCACCATCCGCTCTAGCGGCTTGGACGTGTAAGATCTTGTCGACAATTGCTCAGTATCCGTTTTTTTTTGTCCAGGGGCCCTCTCTTCTAGAACCTCACTTTGAAGATCAAGGTTGCCTTCTGAGCTGCACGAAAGGGGAGATCCCCAAACCAAATCCAGGTTCCCGGACAGGGTCTTGGGGTTTTAGGGCTTTGGGGTTTTTAGGGGATTTAGGGGTTTTAAGGTTTTAGGGATTTACGGTTCCAGGGCTTTGGGGGTTTGAAGGTTTAGGGTAGATGGGAAGATTTTCTTTTGGGTTTGTATGGGCAAAAGGCCTGCAGAGGTACCCTGAACCCTGAAGCAGGGTTTATATTTGCATATAAGGTTCCTTGTCAATGGTGTCCTTTTCGGGGTACAAGTAAACCCTAAACCGTAAACCCTAAACGCATATAAACCCTAAACCATATCAGGTGGTGGCCTGAGCGACGGGGAGATCGAGAGGATGGTCAACGAGGTACGGCTTACGGTTTCTAGGACCCAGAGTAGGCTCCCATTCCCTGGTTTTAGGATATCGGTGCCCTTACAATTTGAGGCCAAAAAGGGGCACCCTGTTTTCTTGGGCCTAGGTTTAGGATTTTGGCAGTCGAAGCTGTCGGGAGTAGGGTTTAAGGGCATTCTTTCTCGTTCAGCGTGCCCACCATAGACCCCAAAAGATACTGCAAGCCTCATTATGGGACGACAACAAAGGGCCTTAAACCCGAAACCCTCAATTCGTGAACTTTCCATCTGGGGTGTAGGAAGTGATGGTTTAGGGTCTTTCAGGGACTCGAAGGTTTGGGCTTAGGGGGTAGGGTTTTGGGGTCTAGGGCCTAGTGTCTAGGATTTCTACGCTCTAAAAACCACCCAAAATTTGTAGGGTTTAGGAGGTTATGGTTCAGGGTTGTGGGCTTTCAGGGATTCGAAGGTTTGGGTTTAGAGGTCTAGGGTTTTGGGGTTCTAGGTCTTAGAGTCTAGCTTTGTTTAAGAACCACCCCAAACATGACAAAACATCTTCTTCCTTATAAGGGAAAGATGGGATGATTATCTTTCATGTTCTCGGTAGCCCAGTGGTAACCCCAAACCCTAAACCCTTATATGCCCTTTTTGCTGGTTGTGTGTTCCCTTCTAAAGTCACCAACCCAAAAAAGGGTAGCCTTCTTAAAATGGTGTTTAGGGCTTAGGGTTTAGGGTTTAGGGGTTTAGGGTTTAGGGTTTTAGGCTACCAAGTTTTTGGGGTTCTTCGGCATTAAATTGTGGTTTCAGGGTTTAGGGTCTTGGGGCTAGGGGGGGTTCAGAGCTCCGGTCGCTCAGTTTCAGGTGGGTCAAAGCAAAGTGTAGGGGCTTCAGGGTTTCGTGTTTAGGGCTGAGTTTTGAGGGCCCTGAAACCTAAACCAACCCTAAACCCCAAACCCTAAACCCCGAACGCAGCGCCTGTCTCCCAGGCCGAGAACATGAGGGAGGCCGACCAGAAGAAGAAGGACCCCTCTCCTGGGCCCTCGACCCCAAAATCCCGCAAACGCCCAAGAATCTCGCAACCCCATAACAACCCCAAGTCTCTAAGACCCTAAATCCCAACAACCCTAAACCCTAAACTTCTGAACCCTAAACCCTAAACCCTAAATCCCAACAACCCTAAACCCTAAACCCTAAACCCTATATAAACCCTAAACCCTAAACTCTGCCAAACTTTAGGGCGCCTAGCGGTCGCTTGGGTCGCTCGTTGGGAGCCCTTCTGGAGCCCTCTTGTACCCTAACAGGTAGGGTTTAGGGTTTAGGGTTTAGGGTTTAGGGTTTAGGGTTTAGGGTTTAGGGTTAGGGTTTAGGGTTTAGGGTTTAGGGTTTAGGGTTTAGGGTTTAGGGTTTAGGGTTTAGAGTTTAGGGTTTAGGGTTTAGGGTTTAGGGTTTAGGGTTTAGGGTTTAGGGTTTAGGTTGAGGGTTGAAGGTTTAGGGTTTAGGGTTTAGGGTTTTTGATTTAGGGAGGGGTTTGGCCTTAGGCCGAAGGTCTAGGGCTTGCAGGGCAACTGTAGGGCTTGATTAAGGATAAGGGCGTGTCGGGCTTAGGCCTTAAGGCTTAGTGCCTCGCATGGTGCGAGCACTCCTCAGTCCTTTCCCACGCAGCCTAGTTGTGGCATTGCCACTTTCGGAAGTGCCCCTATAAGTTTTTATGTGTGGGCGACATGCTCGCACATAAAGCCATAGTAACTTCTCGCAATAAATCCTAAACCCTAAACCCTAAACCCTAAACCCTAAACCCTAAACCCTAAACCCTAAACCCTAAACCCTAAACCCTAAACCCTAAACCCTAAACCCTAAACCCTAAACCCTAAACCCTAAACCCTAAACCCTAAACCTAAGCTACCGAGTGCAACTTTGGTCTTGCTGTTCAGGCGTTGGGTGTTTTGGGAACCAGCGGGATGGTTCTGATCCTTTTCATCCCTAAACTTAGAACCCCAAACCCTTGGACTCTAGATAAACCCTAAAGTTTAGGGTGTAGGGTTTAGGGTGCAGGTTTTCGGGTTTAGGGCTCAGGGTGTAGGGTATTAGGGTTTAGGGTGTAGGGCGCAGATATCTTTAAAGCCTTGAACGCCAAAGCACAAATAACCCCCAAGCCCTAATTAGGAAGCCCGAAGCCGCAGTTTTTTGCCAGGACACCGTGCAGGCCAAGAACGACGGCGAGAATCTCGCCTACCAGGCCGGGTGTCACAGTGTCGCGGAACCTTCCCTTCTAGGAATTATTTTTATTTTTCAACTTTTCTCTATATAACTCCAAGGGAATATTGAAAGAATGTTTGATTCAGAATCAAGGGAAAGTATAGCAAACCTTAAAGCCATTTAAAGCCCTACACCCCCCAACAACAAGCCTTCAGCCGCACGACGTTGTGCAGGGCATTTCCAGATTTAGGGCAGCGTCGAGGTCGTTTTTGATTTTGCTTGGCCTACGGAGCAAGCCCCAGAACCCTAAACCCCAACCCCCAAACCCCGGAACCCCGAAACCCTAATACCTGAAAGGCTACAACCCCAAAAACCCTAAAACCCTAAACCCTAAAAGCGCCCTCTCTAGTGCCAAATCCTCCTCCCAAGCCCTCAACGCCCCAAACACCCCAATGCCTTAAAACAACCTGCTGAATCCCTAAAACGGTTTAGGGTTTGGGGTTAGTTTGGGGTTTAGGGTTAATAGGGTTTAGGGTTTAGGGTTTAGGTTTTAGGGTTTCGGGAACCCCCTATAGAACTCTACAGCCCGACAACCCGACGAGGTCGAGAAGCAGCTGACTGAACTCAAGGACCCCTTGGTGTGCCGGGTGGTTGGTTTTAAGAGTAGAGGCTTCGGGGTTTAGGGTTTAGGGTTTTAGGGTTTAGGGTGTTAACTTTCTTGCGGGTCTTGGGGGCACGTTTTCCCAGAATTAGTCGCCCAACAAGTGTTTTTGTTGTTTCTAACATGTGGTTGCGATGCAGCTGCCGGGGAAAAGGCCGGCTCCAAACACTTCTTCCAAAAACTTAGCCAAGAAAGTAATGAAAGTATTCATTATGTAGCAAGATCGCTGTTAGTGGCCGGTTGTTCCACTGGCCACTGGCGGTCAGGAATCTCTTTCGGCGTGTGCAAGGGACCAAAACAATCAACACAGCCCAAAGAACCACCCCCCCGCAAAACAACAAAACAACAATGCAACGCACGTTCTTTCACTTGAAAATCCTAGGCTTGTAGGGTTTAGGTTCCGGAGGAGTCAGGGCTCTGCACCAGCGGGAGAAAAAATCAGCAGCGAAGGGATAAAAACCAACTTTACCAACACAACTTGGTTGATTTTGAGACGGTTCTTTTGTTTGAAGGCTGTTAGGGTGAGTAAAAAAGTGTGAATATAACTGGATGGTATTTCCGAGAGACCACCGAGGTTTCCTCGACCATCAACGAGGTTTCCTGAAAACGGTCGACCAGGTTTCCGAAAACCGATAAGGTTTCCGAAAAAGCGAAGCAAAGGAGATGACATAAAAATGAGCCCGCCCTCCACCCAGCGGAAAAATCAGCAGCGGGAGGGGGACAAAACAGAAAAACAGAAACCAACAAATTGGAGAAACCAACTTTAACAAAAACGACTTGGTTGATTTTGAGACGGCCGTTTCTGTTTGAGAAGTGTTTTCCAATTTTTTTTTATCATATGGGATATGAATATTTTATGAAGGCTGTTAGGAGTATTAAAAAAATAGGAGAAAAAATCAGGTTTCCGAAACATCAACCAGGCTTCCGGAGAAAATCAACCAGGTTTCCGGTGTGGGAAAAAGAGACACCTCCTCCCCCCCCCCCCCCCCCCCCCCCAAAACAAAAAAAAAACAGGTTTCCGGTGGGGAAAAAATGCAACAACTAAAAAATCATCAGTTTCCGAAAATACAGGTTCCGAACACAACCAGGTTTCCGGAGAAATCAACCAGGTTTCCGGTGGAAAACATCACCAAACAAATCAAGGGAAACAAAGACCCGCCAAAACAAATCAACCAGGTTCCCGAAAAAAAAAAGACTCCAAAACACTTTTTTCTTTACAAGGGAAAACACTTATTTGTTTGATGGTGGAAAACACTTCTCAAAAACGGCCCATTTCAAAATCAACCAAGTTTTTTGTTTTCAGTTTTTTTTTTACCCTCCCCCCCCCCCCCCCCCCCCCCAATTTTTTTCATCTCGCTGCTGAGTTTTTTCCCGCGGCGTGGAGGGCGGGCTCGATTTTCGGAAACTTTAGCGGTTTTCGGAAACCTGGTCGACCGTCTTCGTGTTTTTTCCCACCGGAAACCTGGTTGATCTTTGTTTTGGGTGTCTCGTTTTTCTCCACCGGAAACCTGGTTGATTTTCTACGGAAACCTGGTTGATTTTCTTCGGAAACCTGGTTGATTGTTCGGAAACCTGGTTGATTTTTTTGGTGGGTTTTTTGTTCCACCGGAAACCTGGTTTATTTTTTGGGGGGAGGAGACGCCCCTTTTTGTTTACCACCGGAAACCTGGTTGATTTTTCCGGAAACCTGGTCGATGTTTCGGAAACCTCCTATTTTTTTAGCCCACCGGAAACCTAGAAAAAAAGGAACATTGATGAAACCAAAAAATAAAAACTCGAACGCTACTGCGGGCCCCCGGGTGGCGTTGCTGGATGTGAGGAATGGCAAACAACTTTAAAAGATGAATGACAAAACGCGAGCGCTCCCGCGGGGGGTCTTCTCGGAGGCTGGCAATCTTTAAAGAAAAATCGCGAGCGCTCCCACGGGGGGGGGGGGGGAGTCTTCCAACCCCCCTAGCCCTGCCCTAACTCGGTGTGACACCAAGAAAAAGGAAGGGTTGACGCTCGGCAGCCAAATAAAAACCGTTCCGATTCCGAACACCCCTGAATAAATAAATTTGTCAGGTTCTGGGTTTAGTTTTTAGGGTTTTAGTTCAGGGTTTGCCTCTGACCCCGTTTACGCCCCTACAACTGCAATAGACGAAGCGTTATAGCCCCCTACAATGCCCTACATGCCCCCTTACTTCAGAAGAAGTGTCTTTTTTATCCTTGCCATTTTTTTGAGCCCCGGTGCAACACACTTATTGGGTTTCCAGCTGCAAAAACAGGTTGAAAACACTTCGTGAACCCTGAAAGCCAGACCAACAAGAAAGTTAACAGTTTAGGGTTTAGGGTTTTAGGGTTTAGGGTTTATGGTTGCAGGGCTCGAAGTTTTTGGGCTGCTAGTTTCGGGTCGAGGGTTTTAGGGTTTAGGGTTTAGGGTTTAGCTGGAGAGAGCCCAGCCCCAGTGATTTCCGCGGAGTGTCCCGCGGTAGTTAGTTCAGGGCTTAGGGCTTAGGGCTGAGGGTTCAGGATTCTACCTTACGTGGAGGATCGGGGGACTTAGTAGGTACAAAACCCTGCAAGCCTAAAACCGGCACTGAGCCCCAAAACCCTAAACCCCAAACCCTAAACCCCAGACCCTAAACCCCAAACCCTAAACCCTAAACCCCAAACCCCAAACCCTAAACCCTATACCCTAAACCCCAAACCCTAAACCCTAAACCCTAGACCCCAAACCCTAAACCCTAAACCCTAAACCCTAAACCCTAAACCCTACACGCAGGACAAGATGTCCACGGCCGACGCCGACCAGCTCAAGTCCCTAGTTGGCGAGCTGAGGCCGTCGGGTTTAGGGTTTAGGGTTCAGGGTGAGGCCGTCGGGGAACGCCTTGGGCTTTTTGGCGTTTCGGGTTGGGGGTTTAAGGGTTTGGGGGTTGGGGGTTTAGGGTTTAGGGTGTTGGGGTTTAGGGTTTACGTAGGGTTTTGGGGTTTGGAGTTTGGGGGTTTGGGGTTTAGAGTTTAGGGTTGGGGGATTGGGGGCTCGGGTTTAAGAGATCGGGGTTCAGGCTTGCAGGGTGAGGGGTAAAGGCTTAAGATTCGGGGGTTTGGGCGTTTTGTTTGGGGATTAGGTTTGGGGTTCAGGGGGTTTTGGGAGCTAGGGTTAAAGGCTGCTAAGCGGGCGATAGCTACCCAAAAACCCTAAACCCTGCATTTGTTGATTCTTCGGGGGCTTCAAGAGCTTCAAACATGTGGGGTCTTACCAGGGGCCTTTGAGGGCTTTGTTTGGGTTTTGGGCTTCTGCGGTCCTTAGGGTTCAGGACTTCGGGTTTAGGTTTCTACAGGGTTTAGGGTGCAGGGTTTAAAACTCAGACGGCTGGGATTCTACTGAGGACCTCTTCGCTTCCCCAGGCCACCTTCAGGGTTTCGACGGTTCTCGTCTGATTCTGATAGGGTCCCAATGTGAAATCCGAGGGCGGCTTGTGAGGGGCTAAGGGACCAGGATACTGATTCCCTTTGTTTTACGGTTTAGGTTCGCTTCTAAGCCCCTTCAGACCAAAAAGAGCCAAACAGGGCCCTAAACCCTAAACCCTAAACCCTAAACCCTAAACCCTAAACCCTAAACCCTAAACCCTAAACCCTAAACCCTAAACCCTAAACCCTAAATCCTAACCCTAAACCCTAAACCCTAAACCCTAAACCCTAAACCCTAAACCCTAAACCCTAAACCCTAAACCCTAAACCCTAAACCCTAAACCCTAAACCCTAAACCCTAAACGGTCATCCTTGGGATGAGGGTTTTCGGTAGGCTCCCCAAAGCCCGGAGCAGTCTTTAGGGGCCTGGGGTTCCTATATCCCCCTTGGGAGTTTTTTATTTTTTATTTTTAATTTTTGTTTATGTAAAACCCAAGAGGAGATTAACAATATGATTTTTATTAAGGTTCTAAAGTTAGTATAGGTTCAGGCTTAAGGGGCTAGGGTCTAGGGCCTAAAACTCTCAAAATCCCAGATCCTCCAAATTTCCTAAAGCCCTGAACCTCTAGCCAGTTTGGGCACCCCCCCCCCCCCCCCCCACCCACCCACCCGCCCCTAAGCCCTAAACCCTAAGCCCTGAGCCCTGAGCCCTAAACCCTAAACCCTAAACCCTAATCCCTACTTCAACCCACCTGCTTGATGCAGGACAGCCCTGGCTGAAGAGAACGCAGACTTGGATGCCATCAAGCGGCTCGGGCTCTTGTTGCCTTTGTTTAAACGGGCTTAGGGGTTCTGAAAGCTTGTCCCGGTTTAGGGTTCAGGGTTTAGGGTTTAGGGTTTAGGGTTTAGGGTTTAGGGTGACAGGACAGATGTCGTTGAATGTTCCCATAACCAACGAACGTCGAACAAGCAATTAAATTGACATCAAGTGTTAAGACCTGAAAATGTCGAAAGGCTGGGAATCCCGGGGCGGGCAATCAAATAGAAGCCCAAATAAATTAAACAAACAGCAAATGAACATCGGGAAAAGAAAAGTGGTCTGGAATCCGGGTTGGGGGAAAAACATAACGCCCCAGAATGCCCAACAAGGCCACGACACCATGCAGAAATGCCCGCGGGCCCAGAAAGCAAGAAAAAGGGAAATAACAATGAGAATGCATCTAAGTGATAAACTATTGCCGAATACATAACATTCTGAGAAAACGATACAATATGCAATAAGAAACAACCAACTACATAATGTAGACCATCATGAATATTCAGACAAGGCTGGACTTCCGGGAGGCACGCGCCCCCCCGCCCCCCCCCCCCCCCCCCCCCAGGAGTTCCGCCCCAACTTTTTGTTGTGTTTTCTCCGCACCCTCGGGAACCCGAAACCCGAAACCCGAAACCCTAAACCCTAAACCCTAAACCCTGAACCCTAAACCCTAAACCCTAAACCTGCAACCCTAAACCCTCAACCCTAAACCCTAAAACGTAAGCCCGCCTCGGCCAAGGGACAAGACCAAGGCCCTGCAGGAGAAGTCCTGGCAGGCCGCTCGCTTTTGGGTGGGGCTGGGTGGGTGGGTGTTAGGGTTAGGGTTTAGGGTCTAGGGTTTAGGGTTTAGGGTTCAGGGTGCAGGATTTACGGTCTAGGGTTTAGGTTTTAGGGTTTAGGGTGCTAGGGTTTAGGGTTCAAGGCTTGCACACCACCTAACATCCAGTTATCTGGCGACATAAGGATTTAGGGTTTAGGGCTTAGGGTTTAGGGTTTAGGGATATGCAGTAAATGAAGCGAACAAAGCATTGGACAAATTCGCGTTTTGCTCTTCCCTCGACTTTGTGTTACTTGAAGGTTCCTGGGTAGCTCGAAGTAGGGGCGCAGGTGCCGTGATTGGTGTTGCATACGATTCCATGGGAGTATCGAGGTGCTAAACCCTAGACCCTAGACCCTAAACCCTAAACCCTAAACCCTAAACCCTACGCAACTTTAGGGCTGCAGGGTCTAGGGCTTGTTGTTTAGGATGTTGAGCTTAGAGGTTTTGTCTCAGACTTGGCAGGGGGCAGGGGCTCAAGGTTCACAGGGTTCAGAGGTTCAGAGCTAGGCTTTTGGGTTTGGGGTTTAGGGTTTAGGGTTTAGGGTTAGGATCTAGGGTCTAAGGGTCTAGGGTCTAGGGTCTAGCTGGTTTCAGAGAGGCCTTGCT